ATAACGATAATGCATCCCTTTCCATGAATGTTTCCCCTAGTATAGAGTGGCGGTTGCACTTGCTTAGGGTGTTGCTCTAGATTAGTCATTCGAGTGCTTAAACCGTTCATGGCAAAGGCTAGAGCATCTATTTTTTGCTCTAACCTCCTACGTGTGTTTGGAATATCTTCATTCATCTGTAGATGAGAAACAAAATCTGAAAATAAGAAGATATGTGAGTATTCATGTTAGTGAAACCAAAAAGTTGGCTCGCTCCCTCACTATTCTCAGCTCGCGGATAAGAGGTGGATTATATGGCTCTGGGGGGGTACATTACACACCCTTACACACACACACACACACACTCCACTCGTGTATCACTCCAAGTGGCAAATACTCTCACAAGCCTTTTTCCAAAAAGGAAAATTTCTAGTCCGAAACTCGGGTTGATATGGATTCAACCTCAAAGTTCAAGAAAACGTACCTTGGGGGACTTTGCAAGCCTTTGAGAGTAAGGGTGTATCGCGAGGTAGGTAATAAAATCAAGAGCAAGAAGCAAAGAAAAATGACAATACAAGTAAAGAAACTAAGCAAGATTTGAAAGAAAAAAAGGGAAGCAAAGAAAGAAGTATGGCAGAAAGATATGCAGGACCAATATCAGAAGATAGACACAAATAGAATGTAATAGGGGTGCAAGTGTACCACAAACAAATAAGAATATATCAAGAACTCCTTCCAAACTTATACTTTTCCCCTTCCTTATCCCTCCAAAATTCTCCTACCAACCAAATTCTTTCCCCAACCTTATTCTTCTTCTTTATTGCTTTCTCTTTTTTTGCTTTTTTTTTTCAACTTTCTTGATTTTTTTGATAAATAACCTCCAAATAACTACTATAAATATCAACAAAAATTTCAGACCAAGAGGATCCACACAACCCCTTCAAAACAGAATCAAGAATTGCAAGAATCACCCAGAAAAACAGAAACGCTGCCCTTACTTCGAAGATCAATATCTTAATGACCGTAAGTAATTAGCAAGTGTATAATATATAAAAAGAACTCCCCAGAAGATATCTACAACATATCAAAATTTCAGATAAAAATAATGAGTGGATCTCGAGATATAGATCATTCTTTGAAACTGGTCACAAAACGCGAAAATCTGGACATGGTGTGATTGTGACGTGATTGCGCGTAAAAGAGCCTCGGATAGAGGTAAGGCTGAGATAGGATTATTTTCTTGACTGAATTTGTGGTAGTATGGTGCTTAGGAGGTGTGAGGTATCTTTGATATTGGATAGGAAAAAGGGAAAACTCTTTCGGGATTGTTTTTCTAGAAACTAGAGAACATGTATCAAGATTGAAGAACACAATCAAGAATGCAAAAGAAATTTTTTTGGGGTTTTTTAATGAATAAGACACGAAAAAAATAGTATGTAAGATAAGCACGAGATAAACCTAGGGAATCAAAGAAACCAAATTTCTAACGATAATGAGATAAACCTAGGCTCTGAATACCAAATTGATATGAACCTAGTCCAAGGTTCAAATAAAATGGAGTATTGTGCCAAGAATGCTCTCGAAGTAAAGATAGAGATGGATCAAAATACCTTAAACCTCACGAGAAACCCTTTGTCTCAAATCCTCAAAGACTTGGAAGAATCCCATGTAGCTTCAAGTACCTCGATGATGCAATCTTCAATCAACTAGAGTCGGATCTAGTTTCCTTCGATTCAAGAACGAGTCCACGAACCTAAATCTAAGGTTGAAGAAAGGAAGATTGATTCGAGTCCACGAATCAATCTGCTAGTCGAGTCCACGACTAGCCACTAATTGAGTCCACAATTAGCCATAAGGTTTCTTACACAAGTGTAAAGAAAAAATTAAGAATTTTATTGAATTAAAGCCTCCTTAAAACTGATATGGATGTGCCCTATTTATAGATATAGGGCAGCATTGTAATCTAAATATAATGGGAAAAAGAGTCCTAAACCTAATCTAGAAAGCAAGTAAATATAGTCCTATTTAGAAAATGGATTTAAAGAATCCTTTTCTAAATACAAAAGGAGTCCTAAACCTAATCTAGAAAGCAAGTAAATATAGTCCTATTTAGAAAGGGATTTAAGGATTCCTTTCTAAATACAAACTAGTGTTTTCTCTTTAATTCCTAACAATTTAAAATAATGATGACCACAAATAATAAAGCTGATTTGGGCCTTGGATCTTGTGATTGGCCCAATTTGTACTCTTAATGGATCTTGATTATGTTGGGCCGCATCAATATCTTAATAAGTGGGAGTGATCATTTAGAAAAAGATCATTAAAATACTCCACTAAAAGCTAATGGATTTAATTGTTTTCATACATTCCAAATTAGATTGTGCGTCTAGCAATAAGTCCAAAAGTTTTCACAAGTATTAATTTAGTTTTTTGTTCTTATAATTCATAAGTTCATTTCATTGAACGTTTGGTTGTACAACATATTTATGAAGATGTTGCAATAATATTAATGAATTTATTAGAACGAAAGAATTTAACTTGTGGTGAATTGCCAATTAATAAATTCTTTAGCGATTAATAGAGTCTTTAGGTTCTTCAAAATTGATCCTGGGTCATTTTGGTTTGTAAGGCTCAAAACAATTTTGCAAGACATAATAAGTAAGACTCGTAATGTTCAATTAATTTCGAGGTGGACCTTAAGATTATTTGGGAAGATATGGTGTATGTTAGGAACATATGTTTTAGGATTTTGATGATACCAATGTAACTTAGAAGTAGACCCCTAACTTCTTGTCATTTGTCTTGCTACCTTCGTTCTAGACGAAAGGTATCTTAACTCATCGTGTAATTCGTGTTAAGCTAGACAAACACACGAAACCGAGTTAAGTGTATTTTTAGTTAGGCCTCTCTCAACGAAAGAAGAGCAGTTCGATGAAGCATAGCCTCATTTCTACTGGACAACGAAAGATGAGATGATCTCTTACTACAGAAAGCAGAAGCCGAAAGAAGCATTCTGATCAAAAGACCTTTATGACTGTCAAGACAACTCATCTTCTCTCAACTCAAGAAGAATGTTGTCAAATGTCTCATCTGAAGATCGTCCTAGGAATAAACTCTCCTAAGGATTGAGAGCACACTTTTCAAGGTACTACTTTTCAGTGCTAGAAAACAAAATAAGCAAAAGTGCTTATCTCCAATGTCTATATAGTAAAACTGCATTTAATGAAGCAATAAATGCACAAGGCTCTCCGGTTATTAACCATTGGATCATAGGTTTGAAATACCATCTCCTTCCAACGGATGGATTTCTTCTCACCTATAAATACCCTTCTTCTCCACATTAGAAGGTGTTGGTTTTTAGAACAATTGAATCTATTCTCTCAAAAGCTCCTTATACAAGTTCACTCTCTCAAAGCTTTTGAAATCCAGTGATTCAAGGTGTGAAATTTGAAAAAGACTCATCTGAATTCATTCACACATCCTTGAAGAAATCTTGCATCTTTGTACACGCTGATCATCCATCCAGCCACCAGCCAGTCAAGATTTCAACGTGTTGGAGAAACTCAAAGATTATTCAACCCTACTCTCAACTCTGAAGAAGAAGTTGATAGAGGCGGAGTAAACTCGAGAAGTTGAAAAACCTTCAAGTAGTTGTCCTGCTTAGTGATCAAGGAAGCTATCTTGGTGTAATTTGTACTAGGAGTGATAGTGCAAACCTTTCACAAGTTGTGGAAGAAGAGTGGAGTAGGCACAGTTGGCCGAACCACTATAAAAATTCTCTTGTCTCTGTCTCTTTACATTTCAGTATTTTACTTTCGTGCATCGCATCTCATTAGCCCTAACCGAAAGTTCTCATAAAATCAAACAGTGCAAAGAAACTTAAAATTTACATTACACATCCGCTGCGTAATAACCCCGAAAGGAGTTATTTTCGTGAAAAATGATTTCAGTCTATTCACCCCCACCCCCCTCTAGACTCTCCTTTTGACCCTACCGGGACCAACAAGTGGTATCAGAGCCATTACCTTGAACGGTAAAAGCTTTGCCTTTACTTCCTGGTTGATCCCTTCTCATAAAATCTTAAAATCTGCATCTTTTCGTCTTTGCACTAATTTTTCGAAAACAAAATGGAAAAGGAGCATTCTAACCGATCTAGGCTTCTTGTCTTTAATCTATCAAAATTTGATGATTAGAAAGTAAGGATGCAGGCACATCTCTCGGCGATCCATGATGAAATGTGGGATGTCATATGCACAGGACCCATCACAGTGATGATGGTGAACACCAATGTGGCTGCACAAGGAGCTGGTGCAGAACCCATGGTACCGAAACCAAAGGCTCAACTCAACTCTGATGAGAAAACGCGAGCTAACTTGGACAATGTTGCTCGAGACATCCTCTACAAATCTCTGGACGATTCCCTGTTCCCGAGAGTTCGCAAATGTACAACAGGAATGGAAATCTGGAACGTTCTTATGAACTTGGGAGAAGGAGATGAGCAAGAAAAGGACAACAAACTCATTGTTTCCATGAAAAAGTTTGAAGACTTCAAGATGATGCCCAACGAAGCTATCACCGACATGGAGCCCAGGTTCACCACGCTTCTAGGTGATCTTTCAGACCTCGGAAAGGAGCTCACTGAAAAGGAGAAGAATTTGAAGATATTTCGAGGTCTCCCGAAATCATGGGACATGAAAGTCACCGCAATGAGAGATCATCACGACATGAAAACTACGAGCACAAGCAAAATCTTCATTGATCTGAAAGCCTATGAGTTTGAGCACGAACCAAAGGAGTTGGAAGAACCCGAAATAAAAAACGTGGCTTTGGTGGCCAACCAACAACCCTCGACGTCAAATAGGTCAATCTCTAACTCTTCAAATTTTTTATCTGACGAACAATATGCAATGTTTGTTAGGAAAATGAAAAGATTCATGAGGAAAAACAATTTCCAAGACTTTCAAAGATCATAAAGCCGAAGGCAACATGAAAGATCTCCACTTCCACCAAGACAAGAAACAATGGATTCCCAAATGCTGTGCTACAATTGTCGAAAGCCTGGACATTTTAAGGCAAATTGCCCACATCCAATGGTGAGCAAACATCAGAACTCTGGCACGACAAAAGAAACCAGCGAATCCATCAAAAGGAGTGACAAACCAGAATCGTCAAACTCCAGAAACGAAAGAAGGAGAAAAGCAATGGTCGTAAATGAAACGACCGAAAACAATGAATCCGAAAGCAGCTCCTCAAGCTCAAGTTCAGATGATGACAGTGCTGAAGAAGAAAAGGGACTGCTGTGTCTATTCAGCGAGGAAGAAGAATCAAGTGAAATGTGCCTTATGGCACAAGATGAAGAGGTAGACTCTCAATCCTCTTCCTTTCTTTCGTTAGAAACAAACTCATCAAATGATCAAAACTCCAATGAATCTGTCAGTGATATGATGAGGAGATTTGCTATCATAAATAGCACATACTCAGAATTGAAAGAGGAGAACTCTCGACTATTGATCAGCCACAATGAGCTAAGGCGAGTTCGAATTGAGAACGTAAAGCTAGCCATTGTAAAGGATCAGCTTGAAAAGCAAGTTCTATCTCTCAAAGAGCAGTGTACAGAAAGAGAAAAGCGGGAGCAACATTTGCGTGAGGTTCTTGAATCATTTAGTAATTCGTCCAAACTAATGGGCAGAATGGTAAATGGTTCAAAACCGTCTGGGGATAGAACCAGAATTGGTTATGACCTCAGCTCCTCTTCACATGTCACCTTAAACAAACCCACAAATGTTTACACCCGTGAAAGTTTTGCATCTGCTTTTGTTCAAGGTCCCACTCAAATGTCTGAGCCAGTGACCAAAGTTAACAACGGTTAAATACCACAATCAACAAGCCCACCTAAGGGAACGGCTATACAACGAATTGTGGAACCGAGAAATGAAAATTCCTTGAAAGGCAATCCTAGGCACAAAAATGCCAAATGGAATGGACCAAACAGAAATAGAGTTAATCTATATCAAAGGAAAGGTCAGCCTACAAGGAATGATCAATCAAGGACAAAACCGAATGTTAATCAGAGGCAAAATCGTCCTAATTTTACACGAAAGAATCCCTCACAAGGAAATGGACATATCAGACATGCCGAGAGGTCTTTCAGAAGACCGAGGACAGGCAATGGATGGAGTGGACCAACCGAGGAAGATTGGTTTGATTATCCCGAACCTCTGTCAAAAGAGCAATTTTACAAAATACATCTACATAAACAAACCAATTATTCCAAGCAGTATCATAATCCTCCTGCTGATTATTTTCAAGAACGATACAGGAACAAAACCTTTTCAAAAATCTTTTATGATTATCGTGTCTTTAACGGGTATAAAGAACCGAGAATGAGTAGAGGTTACTCTAGGTTTGCTTGGATTCCAAAATTGACCTCTAACCCCGAAGGACCCGTAACCCAGGGGGTACCTAAAAATGCATAATCTTTCTTCCAGGAAAAACAAGTCATATGGTATGTGGACAGTGGATGCTCAAGACATATGACTGGTGACAAAATGATTTTGAGCAATTTTAAGGAAATTGATGGCCCAAAAGTGATATTTGGAGGAGAAACAAGTGGAAAAACTTGTGGGATAGGAGATGTCATCAGAAATGGCATAACAATTCAAAATGTCTCCTACGTGGAAGGATTGAAATTCAATCTGCTAAGCACAAGTCAGTTTTGCGATAAAGGATACAACGTCGAATTCTCCAAGGATAAATGCAATATCGTCAGCACGATAGATGGCGAAATTGTTCTCTCAGCAAAACGAAAGAAAAACATGTACGTTATCGTTTGGAACTCATTTAATGCTAATGTTTGTCTTGTAGCTAAAAGCAATACAGATCTATGCTGGGAATGACACAACAAGCTTGCAAAGAAAGATCTAGTAGAAGGTCTACCCAAGGCAACATACGTTAAAGACAAGATCTGTGAAGCATGTCAAAAAGGGAAGCAAATAAAATCATCCTTCAAGTCCAAAGAGTCAGACGTAAACTCTCGACCTTTAAGCTTGCTACATATGGACCTATTCGGACCAGTTGACCCTGCAAGTCTCAGTGGACGAAAATACACACTGATCGTGGTAGATGATCACACGAAGTATACATGGGCACTGTTCCTGAAGAAGAAAAATGAAACAGAAATTGTTTTGCCCAATCTTTTGAGACAACTTCAAACAGAGAAGGAAATCAAGATTATAAGGATTAGATCGGATTAGGGAACTGAATTTGTCAACAAAGTCATCAAGGATTTCTGCGGACAAAATGACATATTTCACCAACTTTCGGCAGCAAGAACACCACAACAAAATGGTGTTGCCGAAAGAAGAAACAGAATATTGAAAGAAGCAACACGAACGATGATTGCACATTCAGGATTGCCTAAGCGTTTTTGGGCCGAAGCCATTAATACAGCTTGCTACACACAAAATCGATCCCTGATCAACAAAGCTCACAATCTCACTCCATATGAGTTATGGAAAGGTAAGAAACCTGTCATTAGCTACTTTCATATCTTTGGTTGCTGGTGCTTCATTCATAACAACGGAAAGACTTATCTAAGAGCCTTTGACGAAAGAGCTGATGAAGGATTATTTATGGGTTATTCTTTGGTTAGCAAAGCATACAGAGTTCTTAATAAAAGAACAATGGTCATAGAAGAATCCATACATGTTAAATTTGATGAAAAATCCGAGAAAATTCCTGTTGAGAAGGATAAAACGATTGCTCAAGGCTCAACGCTCCAAGAAAATGTAATCATTAATGATGAAGATTCAGACTTCGAAGATTATCTTCCTTCTTATACAAAGTATCAACCGAATTCTACAAATTCCGAAACTAGGGCTCAAACTGTTGAAGAAACAGAAGTTACTAACACGGATGCTCAACCTACCTCAGAACCTATGATATACATTGATCTACCCTATACTCCTGAAATGAATGATTAGCAACAACCACCTTTTGAACAAGATCTAAGATGGCTAAGAGACCATCCTCCTGATCAAGTCATCGAAAATGTTCAAGAAGGAGTAAGAACGAGAGCTTCCTTGCACGAAAATATGATGGCTTGTTTTCTATCACAAATGGAACCAAAATCTATTGAAGAAGCACTAAGCGATCCAGATTGGGACATAGCCATGCAAGAGGAACTTCACCAATTTGAACGAAACAATGTATGGGAACTAGTTCCGAGACCTACACATCAAAATGTCATTGGAAACAAATGGGTATTCAGAAACAAAATGAGTGAAGATGGTCTCATTGTTAGGAACAAAGCTCGTCTTGTTGCTAAAGGCTACTGTCAAGAAGAAGGTATTGATTTTGATGAAACCTTCGCCCCAGTAGCCAGACATGAAGCGATACGAATGTTTCTTGCTTATGTTGCATATAAAGATTTTAAAGTCTACCAAATGGATGTCAAAAGTGCGTTCCTGAATGGACTTCTTGAAGAAGAAGTGTATGTTGAACAACCACCTAGTTTTGCCATTGATTGCGGACAAGAAAAAGTCTATCATCTCAAAAAGGCCTTATATGGATTAAAACAAGCTCCACGAGCTTGGTATGATACGCTTTCATATTTCCTTATCAATTGTGGTTTCACGAAAGGAACTGTTGATAAAACGCTTTTTCAGATCAAAGATGATCATGTTTTGCTAGTTCAAATATATGTTGATGACATCATTTTTGGAAGTACAAATCCAGACTTATGTGAGAAATTCTCGAACCTTATGCAAGGTAAATTCGAAATGAGCATGATGGGAGAATTGAACTACTTTCTTGGCTTGCAAGTTAAACAATGTCCGGAAGGGATATTCATTAATCAAGCAAAATACACAAAGGACTTGTTTCGCAAATTTGGAATTGATGGTAAGTCCTCAGTCAAAATCCCCATGAGTACATCATTAAGAACGGATGTTGATAACGAAGGGAAAGATGTTGATCAAAAGAATTTTCGTGGAATCATTGGATCCCTTCTCTACCTCACAGCCAGTAGGCCCGAAGGGAAAGATGTTGATCAAAAAGTTGGCACACGAAAGAATGATGAAACATGCACACAAGCACCCATCCAATCCACCCACCTTTCGTTAGTATCCCATTCCTGAAGCTCCTCAAAAGATTGAAAAATCTTATGAAGATTTCACTCATGTTCACTCTCAGTCATCAAACAAATCACCTGAGCCCACCCTCTCCTTAGAGGAACTGGGTGAATATGCAAAGATGGCTAGCTTGCCTGATGTGACTGATGAGTCAACCCGTTTGGAGCTTCACATGCCTTATCGATTGCTGTGAATCACTAATGTTTGTTTTTTAATGTAAGGCAGAGTCACTTGCTCTTTGGTTTCGCTTAATAAAATTCACTGTTCTTGATGTTAGCAATGATTATTATCTTGACCATGATATTAAAATATCAGAACGGTTCTATTTTGGTCAAAAATGAATTTATTGCCAATATACCATCTCACAAAAGTTTCAAACTTGAATTTGAAAGTTGTGCGGAATTTGATGCTCATCAATGCACAGACTCACATCGGTTTCAAAAGTCACGGAAATCGATGCCATCTCTCCTGGTTATTTGCACTTGGTTAAAATGATATACACACATTGATTATCTATCTCAAATATATGGCTATAAAAGGAGGCCATTTGTTCCACTTCAACATCACTCAAGCTCCTCAACAATGGCCCCTAAGGCACCAATCACCAGGGGTGTAACAAAGAAAATCAGAGAAAAAGCTCATCTTGTGAGAGAAGAACAAGGCGATCTTTATCCTGACAATAGCCCACTTGCTCCCATGGCTGTCTCCTCTGACTCAGATTCTGAGGACTATGATGAACTCATCAAGCGAAGATCCGAAGAAGATGCCTGATCATTTGATCCTAATGAGGAACCCCCTCTCATAGTTAAAAAGGGATTCATGCCCTTGGAAATCTGGAATAATCCTACTACGGACAAGGATCTCCGAGCCTTCTATCGAACTTATGATTGCAAAACCGAGCGTGTAGGGTACATCGAAGGTGAATCTGATGAAGAAATGAAATCATCTGTTGGATCATCCTATCCAAATCTATCTGCAACAAAGAAGGTCTCTAAGGAGCACAAGGGTGAAACCAGCAAGAAGAAGAAGGGAAAAGAGAAGAAATAATAATTTCTTGCTATAATTTCTCTATGTTCTAGAATCACCTTTCGTTTTACTATCATGTATGCTTAATGGCTCTTTGTCATCAAAGCGGTCATTACAAATAAAATAAGTCTTTTGTTGTGTTGCTATGACTAACGAAAGGTGCACAGTTCTCCATAGAATATATTCTCAGCATCCTTTCTATGCGTTACTCAGTCAAAGCCGAAATGAATGGCTCGAAAAATAACGCTAAAGCTATTGAATGGTCATTTAATGCTCTCTACATTCAATGAGGAGAATCATTCATTTTGTGCTATAAAAGGGATAGACTTATGCACTTCGAATTCACACAATCTCCATATCTCACAACCAGCAAGATCATGGCATCTCAGGGGCCTTTCACTCGATCCATGACCAAATTGGGGAACGAAGCAGCTCGAAAGCTGAGAGAGAAACAAGGAGATCACTATCCTGGAAACAGTGAGCATGCTCCTCTGGATCTCTCCTCTGATGATGATCAGCCTGAAAAGGTCATTGCCCCTCTTGTCTCTGAAGACGAAGAGAATCCAATCGCAGATCTTCATGAAGCTCCTCCACCCATTGAAGGAGGACGAGACTTTCCCACTATTGAAGATTGGAAAAATCCGCTTACTGATCATGATTATCTCATGTACCTGAGCACTAATCTCAGTGAATCCGAATCTGATGATGAAGTC